AGAAGGTGTCCCCCACACTCCTGTGTCCCCGCAGCCGGGGCAATCCCGGCGTTTCGGGAAGCACGAGAGCAGTCTGCAGCTCCCGCTCGGATTTACACCGCAGGGAGGGCCCTTCGCTGCTTGCCCAGGATCCGGCCCCTCGGGCAGGCTCCGAAATGATCCCAAGCCCCCCTGCTTTGTTATTAAATCAAATCCATCTGGCCTCGACCACGGACGGTTGTTATTCGAGATCCCTCTCCTAGAGGAGCTGGGATTAGCTCCGGGCATGGGGGATTCTCCCTCCCTCCCTCTCTCCCACCGCTCCCAGCCCTCCTGCCTCTCTCTTTTGTGTTTCTTCACTTCTCGAGGAGCAGGGGGAGGCGCGGGCGCCTCGGCAGCTTTTGTGCAGCTCGGAGCTGGCAGCAGGGGTGTCCCCGCAGTGTCACCGCGCTCCGGTGGGTCCCATCTGGACATGCCTGCACCCCCTTACCCACACCAGGGCAGCCGAACCCCCCGAGCCCCGGGAATGCCACAGCTGGCACGGGGGGTGACAGTGACAGTGGCTGTGTCCCAGACGCCTGCCACCCCCATTTTTGACCCCAAAACGCTGCCGGGAGCTGCTCTCCTCAGGGACACGCAGGGTCGCAGGGTAATCCCCTGTCCCAGCCCCACAGAACCCACTGCCCCAGGAGAGCAGGCTGAACTGGAACGGTGTGGGATGTGCTACTGTGGAGCAAGTGCTTTCAGCTTTACAGCCAGTGCCTTGAGTGCTGCTGCTTGCCCGGGTGTCACTGCTGTCACCTCCTTAGGGCTGCAGCTTCCAAACCCCCATTGAGGAGCTGCTGGATCGAGGCTTGGGCTTTTGGAACCTTCATGAAGACCATGGATTTCCACTGCTCTGACAACACAGAAAGCAGGGGGCAAGTTAATTGGTGATGACCTGCCAGCAGGAGGCAGAGGCAGGGCACCCCGCCCGTGTGGGGATGTGTGTCTGCTCCTGGAGCGACCCTTGGGGCCGCCTGCACCAGCAAGGATAAGGTGACAGCATGTCTGGCTCCAGCCCTCCAGGGACTCCTTTAGGTTGGGCAGATGGAGTCGTGGTCCCCATGGGCTCTCCAGTGCTGGGCTTTGTGTTCTGGCTGGCAGCAATTAGTGCTCCAGCTTGTTTTGGAGTGATCACTGGGTACAGGCTCTCCCTGAGCAGAGCTGGGGCTCAGAACATGCCCTGACAGACCTCTCCTGGCTGAGCTTGGCCTCTTGCACCTCCTCTGCTGTGAACTTCTCTTGCAAGGACACAGCCTGACACGCAGGTACCCCCACCATGGACAGGGTACACAGTCCCCACCAAATGACACCCCAGAAGCTGTGTACGAGGCACATCCCTCCTGGGAGGAGTGACTGTGGCAGTGTGGGGAGAAGGCCAGCTGGGCACAGGGTCAGAGGCCAACTCTAAACATGGGTTCAGTGTTTAAACCCCTTTAGTGTGTAAATCTACAGAGCAGCATGCAATTCCCAGCCGTGGCAAAGCCTTCACCACACCCCAGGGGAACCAGCACCAACCCCAGCATTTTCCTCTGACCACAGGGATACCTGGACCAGAGCCTGTAGACAGCCTGGACTGGAAAGTGGCACCTGAGCATCCTGGCTGGTCCTTCCATCACCCCTGGAACTGCTGCAGCACCTTCCGAGGCTCAGAGCTTCCCTGCACACCAGCAGCAGCCCCCAGCTCACTGCAGACCTCCTGCAGCCAGGTCTGCTGGACTTCAGCCTGCCTTCCAAGAACTGCTCCTTCTGCAGCTGACTGGAAAACATAAAAGGAGACAAGGCACTTTCTGAGGGAGCACTGGAGTCCAGGGAATCAGCAACGTGGGAATTGACAGTAGCACCTTCACTCCTGGGTCACACCGAGGCACAAACATTTCCACACCTGCTCTGCTCTCCTGGGGCACCTGCAGCATTTAGGCACAAAGTTTGCATCCCACAGGTACTTTGTAATGGCACAAGGGACTCTGCAGTGACAGAGATGGTGCTCTCATCTTTCCTGGATGACTCTGCTGGTGCCATCCCCTCAGGGACCAAAGCACAGCCCCCTCCATCACCCAGCCCTGTGGTAGGCTGCCAGCCCGTTGGGGAAGGGATGGGAAAGTGTCCACTTGATGTGCCTGAAAAGCAGCACACATCTCCCTGTTGCTATGGAAACACTGCTTTTAAAGCAAATTAATAATAATAATTAACACCATCTATTAAATAATGGTAATAAAAGCATTAGTAATGACTTGTAATTGGTAAGGCACTCGGAATAATGCACACTCACCCTGTGACCTGCTCCCAGCTCGGAACTGGAGCTGGGGGCGGCATCTCCCACCCGCAGGGGAGCCCTGGGTGAGGGCGAGTGCCCTCTGCCTTCAGTACTGTACAGGCAGGGGCTTAGTGGGATTCAGTGAGGGATCAGACTTTTATCTGGATAATGAGGATGTCTAGACTGATAAGAAGAAGGGGTAAATTGGCTCAGGGCCTGATTCTGCCTTGCTGTGTGCTTGGTGGTGCCTGGGCAAAACTGAGGTGGGTTGAGAGCAGGAGTCTGTGCCAGGCTAGACAAAGCCCTGGTTCCTTCCAGTTTTTAACCTAGAAATCAGAGTACTTCCAGGGCTGTTAACCCCTGGGAGGCAGAGGTGAAGAGAACTCTAAGAAACTTTTAATGTGCTCGAATTCAGCCTGGAGAAGGGAAGGCTCCAGGGACACCTTAGATCTGCTTCCAGTGCCTAAAGAGGCTCCAACAGAGCTGGAGAAGGACTTTGGACAAGGGCCTGAAGGGACAGGACAAAGGGGAATGCCAGAGGGCAGGGTTAGATGGGATACTGGGAAGAAATTGTTCCCTTTGAGGGTGGGGAGGCCCTGGCACAAGTTGCCCAGAGAAGCTGTGGCTGCCCCATCCCTGGAGGTGCTCAAGGCCAGGCTGGACAGGGCTTGGAGCTACCTGGGATAGTGGAAAGTGTCCCTGCCCATGGCAGGGGCGTGTGACAAGATGAGCTTTAAGTTCCCTTAGAACTTGGTTGCAGCCAAGGGGATGGGGCAGCCACAGCTTCCCTGGGTCCCTCTGCTCTGTCTCTCACACCTCGGGTCCTTGTGTCCCACTCATCAGCCTACACCACCAAAAGCAGTGTCCAGAGCAGAGCACGCAAGGCAGGGCCCAGAGCTGTTATAAAACACCCTCTTTTCAAGCTGTGAGGTGCTTCCAAAAGGATCTGAACTGTGGAGAGAAAATCAATGCAAAGACCTGACAGCGTCACCCGCTTGTTTGTGCCCAAAGTCCCTGTGCTGACAAGGTCTTCTCTGCACGGCAGAGCAAGGACCTGCTCTCAGAATCACTCAGCTTTCCCGCAGGAGCCTGCCCAGACAGGCAGAGCCAGGATGTGAACACCTGGGAAAACCTGGCCCTTGGTTTAGGTGCCTGCATGAGCCTGAACTCTTTGAAAAGCAGGTCCCCACTGTCCCTGCTGTGCTTCTGGAGAGGCATCAGCCATCCCTGGACTGGCATAAGCAAGTGCAAAACAGCTAAAAAAGTGCTGAGATGTATTCCTTAGACTTTCCCCAGCAAGGTCTGGCACCCAGACTGCCGTGCAGCTTTAGGATTGCAACACCTGCGTGGCTCAGGCTCCATCCCAGCCCGAGCTCCCGGCAGCAACTTCCACCATGAGACTAAAATTAGCAGCGACAGGAAGAGCTCTGGAGCACGACAGGATGATTAGAGCCTCCCTGGAAAGGAGGCATCACCTGCAACGTAATGACTTTCCTCATCTCTGTCAAAATGTGCAACGACCGTTGTGGAATATGATGGGGAAAAGTGAGGCAGTGAGACAGGGGAAGGTGCTTCTGCACAAAATTGGAGTGAGCATTTGTCCAGAGGAGAAAAAAAAAGGATGCTGGCTCTCTGGACTACGCCCTGTGTGACAATCATACCTGAAAGGTTGTGCCCTGGACCTGCTGCATGACTTCAATCAAATTGCTTAGAAAGACACAAAAGACTTCAGGATTGTGCATGCCAGCTCCACCCAAGATTTATAAACAGCAAGAAAACACCCAAATAAAAGGTAAAGAAAAATCTTTTACATGTATTTATATGTTATGAGTGTGAATAATCAGTGTCACTCTTCTCCAGCACCAAATCCATGCTTCAAAACTCTTTGTTGGCCTTCTTTGGCTAAAAATAGCCAACACCACCCACATCCATGTTCCTGAAAGAATGGGATGTCATTGGGCATCACCCCTCCTATAAACTTGCCCTGTTTTCATTTAAAATAACTCATAACTAGAAAGAGCATTAAAAGTGGGTGCACTGAGCCTCCAAGTGGGAAGATGTGACTGTGCTGGGGGAACTCGTGTGTGGCTCACAGAAATGCCAGTGCCACTCTTGTTGCACCTAGTACAAACTGGTTTGACTCCATGACTCACATTCCTGTCGTGAAACTGGAATTCATGGCATAATAGAATCATGGGATGATTAGTGTTGGACAAAATCTTAAAGCTCATCCAGTTCCATCCCCCTGCCATGGGCAGGGACACCTCCCACTATCCCAGGTTGCTCCAAGCCCTGTCCAGCCTGGCCTTGGACACTTCCAGGGATGGGGCAGCCACAGCTTCTCTGGGCAACTTGTGCCAATGCTTCACCTCCCTCACCGGGAAGAATTTCCTCCTTATACCTAACATAAATCTACCCTAATTTTGGTTTGAAACCATTTCCCTTTGTCCTCAGAACATGGCCCATCCCTCTCTCTCAGGTGGCCCCTTACAGAGAGGGCTCATTTGTCAGGATAACAGGAGACAGGCAAGTCCCTTGGATGAAGAAGAGTTTCCCTTCAAGATCTCCTGGACAGAAATACGTGCACATGCGCTGCACAGCTTGACAATGAACGTGCAGCGAATCCAACACATCCTGGACGTGTTGGATTTGCTGGGCACACATGGACCATCTGGCCAACACATGGGCCTCGGGCTTGACATGTCCAGGAAGCATCTGACTGATGGTGGATGCACCAGGCAGGCAGAGGGAGCACATGCAGGAACCCAGCCCCACTGGCACCGCGGTGGAGGTGGCTGTGATCCTCACGGAGCTGATCCGCGGCTGCGCCGGCATTCCTGGGCTGATTTCTGGAGATTCAGACACAGGTAAGTGCCAAAACCCCAATGTGCCCCTGGACAAATTTCAAAAGAGGACATACCCAAGGAAAGTCATGGTAATTCTGATGTTCTGGAAGTTGAAATTGGGAATTATCTGCTTGCAGAAGATGGGATTCCAACGGGAGGAAAACACGTTCCTTGGAAAATGAGCTACATGTATAAGCAGCAAGAATAAGGGGAGAGTGTGACCTTGAAATTGAACACCCCCTTTTGATCCCAGACCTAAAATTATCCAGATTTCAGCAGAAGATTCTTCAGTTTTTAAAAACAAGCCCCTGGTGACTAGAAAGTCCAAACCCTCCACGTTATGAACACAACCAAGTGTGCCAAGGGTGCGGCACCCGCGATCCCAGCGCCAGATTGTCCCTGTAGCTTAGCACCCATCTGCAGCCAATATGCTGAGCTCTTAACAAAATTGAGGGCTTTTAAAACCTGGTCTTCCAGGCCTGATCCCATGGACCTGGGCTCACCAAAACCAATGGACTTCAAGGAGCTTTGGATCAGGCTTTGCGCTAATTTACTTATCTCATAGAACAGCTTAATTAACAAATGTTTGCAAAGCACTTCAGGATCCTTCCACGGACAGTGAGACTCCTCTTGCTGCCAGTCCCATTGACAAAGCAAAGAGGTTTAATGTCAACAGGCAGCAGATGAATTGTATGGACACAGACGGGGATCGGCCACCACGGAGTCCCCCCTGAACCGTGTCCTACAGGGAATGGCCAGCACGTGGGCTCAGAGTGGAAGGGAGCCCTTACAGCTTCCCAGAATTTGGGCTACTTCTGTTTCATGTGCAGCTGAGCAGTTCTTGAAATGAGCTGTCCAGGGACAAGGAGATGAAGTCTCAAAGCACTCGTGGTGATGGTATCCCAGCTTAAACTTTCTACCTCAGGATATTCTATGATTCTATGCAAGATGAAAATGAAGAAAAGCCTAAAAAAGGCTGTCCTGGCTCCTAGCAGGTGTTTGCTCCCCCTGTCCTCCCCACCACCAGCTCATCACCTCAGTCTGTGGGACATGGGATGCTTCCACAGCATTAAACCTTTCCTAGCAGCTGCCACCTTTCCCCCAGACTTGGGTCATGTCGGTGGGCAGAGGGATGCAGCACTGGGAAGTGCCAAATTCAGCTTCACATTGATGACACAAATTCATCCAGAAAGTTTCTCCCTGCGTTAGCTCTTGATGGTGACTCTAAGTCGCTGTTCTGCCTGAGGACAGGCTGCTGGCACCTCCTCAGTCAATGTCAGCTTTATTGCTGCCTCCCACAGAACTTTGTGTCACCAGCCGTGGTGCCTGGCCACCCCTCCCCGATGGCTCTGGCACCGGCAGCAGCTGCAGTTTGCAGTTTCTCCCTTTTCTTTGATCGTTCTGCAGCCTCCTGCCTCGGCAAGGGGCACGTGATGCCGCTGCCTGATCCCGACCTCTCCGCTCCGAGGACTCCGCTGCCATCCCTGGCTTTAATTAATACTTTTTTTCCCCCCCTGACAGTAATTCGGGGATGTGGATTTTCAAACATTTGGAAATACCCGCTTTTTAACTAGAAAAACTGCGTTTCTGCCAAAACCTCGGCAGGGTGTTCGCTGAGTGGATAGAGCTGTGCAGAGACTACACCCATGGTGAAATCCTCACTCGCAATCCAGCACTACTTACCCCCAAAAATAACCTTTTACCCCCCTATCCAGGGAGCTGTGAGTGATCCAACAGCTCCACAACATGAGCCCCTCTGACCTACTCCAGCTCACGGAGCTGGCTCAAGCCACCTGGCAGAGCTAACTTTAACCTGAATTACTCCTGAAATCCAGCTTCCCCAGAGGCAGCGATGCCAGACGGGAGGTAAGATCATTCCCAAGCAGCTGCTATCACTGGGAAGAGGATCAAAGTCTTGGTTGTAGCCCAGCTACGCCCCCAAAATATTGTATGAACTGGGAGATGCTGCTATCAGGGACCCATCAGGATTAGTCACTGCCCATGTTGCCAATTCCTGTGATTTTTCTAGGAGCGTTTCTGGTTGCCTTAAATTCCCAGCTCTGTGAGTCATGTGAATCTGTGTGAGTATGAATTTTTGGTTTTTAAAGTAAGTTTCTAGACCCTGTGGCTGTGCAGAAAAGCAAGGTGATGTAACCAGAGTGAAATCCAACAGCCCCAGAAGAAGGCAAATGAGAAGAAACTCAACTTTCAATTTTTTAAATTTTTTTTTGGAGTCACACAAACTTTTTAGTCAGCTTGGTGATTTCTCGGCCTGGCTCATGCTGCTGGAATGCTCAGAGCTGGAGGTCCATAGTTTTTCCCTTTTTTCCTTTCACTTTCTGATTTCCAGGAGCACTTTCTTCTCCTGAGACCTCCGTGACAGAGCTTAAAATGGAGGTGGAAGCAAAACCATGTCCCTAAAATGACATGCTGCCTCCAGAGCAGGCATTGCTACCAGCCTCATGCACAAGATCCAACTTGGACACGTGAAAAGTCCACAATTTACAGGGCAGAACACCATAGTTCCCACCACCAGCACATGGCACACACAGGATCCTCACCCACGCTGGGAACACCCCTGCATGGACACATGTGTGCACACAAATGCCTCATACACACACACACACGTGGTTTTGGGGCATATTTCAGTGTACATAATTCTGTGTTTGCACCTGTAACTCATGCTCACACAGACACACACAAGGGTTTCACCTGGTTGTAAGCGTGGAGTGAGCCACAGCCAGCAGGTGTGTGCAAGGGAACCAGCAGTGTGTGTGTGTGAAATTCCATGTCCATTAAATGCACATTTTTGGCCATTTAGTGGGGCACACCCAGCCTGTGTTAAAACTTGCCACGGGATGTGTGTGTGCCCTATGGAGCCACCATCCATCACATCCCAAACAGACATTCCTCTTAGAAGAAGGAATATCCCAAACTTCCACGAAGGAAAACATCCCAAACTGCCACTCTCAGGACTCCCATCACCACACAACGGTGAAAAAAGAAATAAAGCCCAATTCAGGACAGTGCTCTACAGCATGACCAAAATGAGCTGCACAAAACACAGCAGTGGGTGGGTTCTCCTGTCCTTAGCTTTACTTTTTTTCCCTTTTTTTTTTGTTGTGCACACCTACAGCACAGCCACCACAAGCTCTAACCCACAGCAGCTCCACGCCGGGTCCCGCGCAGAGGGGAGCTGCCCCTCCGGCCGTGTCCCAGCATCTCCCTGAGTTTGTACTACACATCAGGAAACCTGGATGCCAAAACCAAACCGAAAGCAGAAATTCCCCTTCCCAAAGTGCCGGGGCAAACTCACAGGGAGAGCTCCAGCAGCACCTTACCGGCTGAGTCAGTGGATGAGCCATCTCCTTGTGCTGGGTGCCCCATCTGCCGAGTTTAGCCGCAGCTGAGATCTTCTGCTGGTAAACCCAGAAAGGGGAGGTGGGGGGGGGAAAGAATAAACCTTCCCGCAAGGATCCCAGAAACAGAGAGAGCAAATCACACAGGATACAGTGGGGGGTGGAAAGGTCCAGCCCCGGTGACAAGGCACCGGTGCCACCACCCCCCAGCCCTCGCCGCAGCCGTGGCCATTGCCAGAGCTGCAGCGCGATGTGGCTCGGCGGGAGCTCGCATCCCTCTGCATTGTCCCTCTCCAGTGTGAGCTCCGGCAATCTCATTTCATGGGAGACATCTGGTTTGATTCAGAGAGAAGAAAGGGGCGAGGGGAGAACCGCGCGCTCACACGCTCACCGCCCAGCCCGGCTGGCTGGGAGCTGGGGAGCAATTGTCAATGCTTCCCTCCGCCTGAATCCTCCTCATTTCAATGAGAAAGGCCAGCCCGGGGAGCAGGGCTGTCCCACGGCCCCCCCAGCATTCCCAGTCTGCAGGAGGGGGCTTTGCTGGGGCACAGAGCCAAGGGTGGGGAGCTGAGCCCCAGCAGCCTCACCAAGCCTGGCTATGCCTGGAGCCACTACAAGGCCTTTGGGGGGCTGGGGGGCTCCCCCTTATTGTTTTCCATAATTCCCAGGCCGGGTGGACATGCAGTATTGTCCCTCAAATGCTTGTGGCCGTGTTGGGGGTCTTCCCACTGCAAGACTGAGGTCCCCATGTTTTTGGGGAACCCTTTTGGAAGGCCTTGTCCTCCTTCGCAAGGATGAAGCAGTGAGCTCCTTGTCCATGGGAGGGGGGGTCCTGCCCCATTGTGCCACCACTCACCCTGCTGACCCTGGTGCCCTGCTAGCCTGTACCCAAGGTGTCCCTGCTGAGCCACCACCCCTCCCAGGGGTCCCTGTTGTGCCTGTGGGTCTCTGGATGGATCCCAGCCCTGGACAGCTCTGCAGCACCCCTCATGTGTGGGCAGCAACAGGTCCCCACACAAACTCTCCTTCGCCCAAGACCCCTCCACAGTGTGGGGGCACATGGCGGGTCCCCACACAGACCCCTTCCACTCGTGACCCCTCCATGCTGGGTGCAACCAATGAGTTCCCTCACAGACCCTTCTTTCCTGTGATCCCTCTCTGCCAGGGATGTGCACACTCATGGAACCCAGAGTGGGTACCCACGCAGCCCCTCCACCCACCCGCTGCATGGTGGGTCCCCAGGGAGCCCCCTCCACGTGTGGCACAGGGAATCCCACTGCAGCCCACTCCACCCATTGCACAGTGGTCCCACCACAGACCCTTCCACCCATGGCATGGCATGCCTGATCCCCTTGCACCACCCTCCAGCCGGGTCACAGTGGCTTCCCCCGCAGTCCCCTCCACCGGTTCCCTGCACGGCTGGTCCCCTCGCACCTCCCTAACCCCCCCAGCCATGTCATGGCATGTCCCTCTGCAGCCCCTCCACCGGTGACATGGTGGATCCTCCTGCATCCCCCTCCCCTGGTGGCAACCCGTGGTCCCCTTGCAGCCCCTACACCGTGGCACAGTGTGTGCCCCCACAGCCCCTCCATCCTCTGCACAATGTGTCTCCCCACAGCAGCCCCCCCTCCGTGTCCCAGGCGGTCCCCACACCACCCTCCACCCGTGTCACCGTGGGTGCCCGTGCAGCCTCTTCACTCGTGTCCCCGCGGGTCCCCAGCAGCCCCCTCACCGTGTCCCAGCCGGTCCCCCACATCCCACATCCCACATCCACTCGTGTCACCCATCCACTCGCGTCCCTACATCCCCCTCCCAGTGTCACAGCGGCTCCCCCTCCCCACACCGCCTGCCCCCGCGACCTCCGGCCCCGCCGCCCCGCTCCCGCCGCCCCGGTCCCCGCCGCCGCGGGCGGGGGTGTGCCGCCACCGGACTACATCCCCCATCAGCCCGCGGGCCGGGCCGCTCCCGCAGCGCCCAGCCGCCTTCAAACAAAAGAGTTTCTCCCCGCGGGGCCGCGCTCCGCTCCGCGCCCCCCGCACCCCCCGCACCCTAGCCTGGTAGTCCCAGGGATAATGGAAAGGAACGGGGGTTTCGGCGATTTAGGCTGTTTCGGTGGGAGCGGCAAAGACAGAGCGCTGCTTGAGGATGACCGGGCGCTGCAGCTCGCCCTGGACCAGCTCTGCCTGCTGGGGCTAGGCGAGCCTTCCTCCTCCTCCTCCTCCTCGGCCGTGGTGCTGGTGGAGGACAGCAACAACAACAACAATAACCCGCCGCCGCCGCCGCCGCACCGGCCCCGGGACACTCCCCCGCGGCCGGGGGGCCCCGCCGCCGCCCCCGCCGCTCCCTCCCGCCCATTGTTCGGGGCCGGGGCCGCTCGGCCCCGCCGGGGACAAAGCCCGGGGCTCCCGGGCTGTGGGCGGGTGGCCGCGCTCCCGGCACGGGGGTTTTGGGATGGGGGGTCTGTGGGAATGCTGCCGGCGCTTGTCCGGCTGCCGGCACCGGAGCCCCGCGCGCCGCTCCCCGGTTCTGCCAAAGAGCCGATCTCGACCGCGCTCTCCTTAAGAAAAAAAAAACTGGGAATAAGGCGGGGGAAGGGCGGGGGGTGCAGGCTGAGCCCGGCCCCGCGCCTCGGAGTCCCCCTTTGTTGGCCGGGCGGAGGGGGTGTGGTGGTGCCGGGCTCGCTCCGAGCGGCCGGTGAGCGGGTGGGAGCCGAGCTCCTCCCGCCGCCCCCGGGAGCGGAGGGACCCCGGAGCGGGGGGACCCCGGAGCGGGACCCGCCGTCCCGCGTGGGCCCCCCGCAGCCGCTGCCCGCGCGCCGCCACAGTGATGCTTTTGTTCTCACGGCTCCGTTCGGAGCGAGGTGGAATGGAGGAGGGCTTTAAAAAAAAATTACATATATATATCTATCTGTGTGTAAATATATATATATATATATCTCCATACCATACCCACTCTTAAGTCACCCCTCGCCCACCCCCACCACTCCCGGGTGTGCGGTGCGGGGCCCCGCGCCTCCCGTGGGCACTGCGGGAGTCGGGGCACGGCGCTGCCGAGAGAAGTTTTGTGTCGCTACAGAGAAAAAAAAATAATAATGGTGCGGCTAAGTGTTGGGCTTTTTTTTTCTTTTTTTCTTTCTCTGAACAAGTAACTTGACGCTCTGGAAGTGCGATGGGCAGAGCCTGCGGCTGCATGGGCAGATGCTCCCCTGTGGGTTGGGATCGAAGGGCCCTGAGCAGGGGGTTTGTGGCGGGACCCGGGGGGTGATGACCCCCAGTGCCCCGAGAAGGGCTGAGATGGGCAAGGGGAAGCCACGGGGAGGGGGACACAAATGGCTCAGTGCTGGACATCTCTGACGCTAGGGCGTGCGGTTGGAACAATGGGGCCTGCGGAGGCTCTGCTTGCTCCCAGCCCTGGAGCCAGAGTCCGGTTCCCACGGACCGGTCCCGGTTCTCCGGGATGGAAAGTGGGCAGGAGTCCGGGGGTGCTGACCTCCCCAAAACTTGGGGCGTCTGCAGCCGAGGGAGCAGCTCTTGCTCTGGCGTTCACACTGGGATGGGGGCCCCTCACTGGGGACCTGGGGAGACGGGCAGGAAGGGGTGAGGGTCTGGCCCAGGAGATCCCACTGGCTCCGATCCTGATCCTCCTGTGCTGCCTTCACCTTGCCGGGAGTGGAGCGCAGGCAGGCACGGTGGGGCTCAGCACCAGCTCTGCACTGGTGTGTGTGAGGCCATGGAGAATCAGGCCCCCTTTGTTTAATAAAGTTGGGAAAGAGGATTCGGCAGGCGGAACCAAGGGGAGATGTGCCAGGGCTGTTTTCTTCCAGGATCTCACTGCTGCCCCAGACTCCTGAGAAGGGGGTGTGTTTCACTGTGTTCAGAACGCAGCACGTGCCTGTTGTGTCCAGAGCGATGGAGAGGAACGTGCAGACCTGGATTTTTTCCACCATTTTTTTTTTGCGTGTGTGAGGGTTTTCCCACATCTGGGAAGCTGAAATGTCAGTGTGCTGGAGCTGTGGGGATGCAGCTGTGGCTGTGCTCCTTTGGCTGCTGGGGCAGATGGTGCAGCCTGTGCCCCACCGTGGAGGTGGGTGGGATGGATCCTGTGCTGGGGGTTCCTTCAGCACAGTCCTTGTAGCTGTGGCTCTGCACTCCAGCACAGATCATGGCCCACACTTGTTTCTAAAGGCCTGTAGGAATGTCTCTACTGTCTCCTGTGCCTTGTTTTTGTGTAGAAGGCCGGATTAAGAGGGTCTGGAGCTGGGTGTGGGGCTCCCAGGGGGATTGATTCCTGGACTCTCATGGATGCCTGACCAGGAATCCCAGAATGCCAGATTGTCATCCCTTGGTAGTACTGCTCCCGTTGCAGATGGTTTTCTAGGAAAACAATTGCTTTTATGGGTGCCTGTGAACAGGGTGATAAACATCTTGAAAAAGGGAGGGGGAAAAAAGTAATGATGAAATAAAAATTATTTCACAGCTTTATTTGGTAACAGGGTTTAGTTTTTTCTTCAAGTTATTATTTTCTGAAGAAACACACTATCCCTTCAGATTATTTTATAATGATATCAAATGTCTATTAAAGTGTTCCTCACAGACAGGCGTGGATATGAGAGGCCTGGGTCTGGGCACAGGGGCCCTGGTGCACACACCTGGCCACGGGAATTCCACCTGCTATCAGGCCACCCCTCACTTTGCCAAAGGAGTGAAAAGGCATTTAAGTGTAAATAAGGCTCAAGCCCGATGTATTTCTATTGGAATGTGTGTAAGGGTGGTTTGTGAAGAGGTGTAATCGTGGCAGAGGGGGTGGCTTCACTCCAAGCAAGGATGCTGCAGGAACTCAACCTGAGCTTGGCAGCTCCTGCTTTCCCCAGGAGCTGTGAACGTGCCCTCGAGGAGCCAATGGCCTGTTGGAAGCCCTGCTCCAGTTTGTGCTGGGGCTGCTTTGTGTGCTGAATTCGAGCAGCACAGCCACGAGCTGGCTGGGGTTGGGGACTGCCCGGGGTGAGGTGGGGGGCTGTGGAAAGGGGGATCGCTGGGAACTGGCCAGACTGGCTCCTCCACCTGGTGCCCCGGGGTCTGTGGCAAAGAGCTGGGTGGCTGGTGGTATGTGCCAAGGGCTGCTTTGCAAACTGGAGGACCGGAAACTGGAAAAGGAAGAATGAGGGGATGAAGTCACAAGAATCCCTTTGACTGGTGCCTGTGACCCCTGGGCATGGGTGGTAGTGACACCCCTTCCCTGGTTGGAGGTGGAGCCATGACCTCCACGCCTGTGCTCCTGTTGCAGTGAGGGGCAGGGGCGAGTCTGCCTGAGTCAGGGCTCCTGCAGGTCATCCCCCCTTCTCCTGGCATGTGTGTGAACTGCAGCTGTGCTGAGTTTGGGTGACCGAACCTCCCGGTGTGTGCCATGGCACAGTGCTCCCTGGGGCCTGTGTGGCACATCGGGGTGCTTGGTGGCTCTTGTATTTCTCCTGCCAGCTCGGGCTGTGGGTGTCCTGCCTGCAAGAGCCTGTCCATGGCTGTGCTGGCTGTCACGGCCACGCCGATGAAATTGTAAAGACAAAGCACTGGAGGGGTTTGCAGCAGGTTTTTTAGGAGATGGTGGGACATCAAGGGATGAGATGGGGTGTGGGTGCTGGGAGGAATGGAGAGTGTCTGAAGGGCATCATGTTTTGGTTGTGCAGACTGTGAAATTAGGAAGGGGCAGAAATTGTCAGTCACTGCAGTTCTTCCCTAGAAGTGACCCGAGGTGGGTGTGGATTAGCCAGATCAAGATTTGTATCCAACTTTTGTGCCCACTCCCACAGACAAGCTGGGCTGCTGTCGGTGGAGCCAGGGGAGAGGCTGAAGGGCACATTTAAGGCCAGATGTTGTGGTTAGGGAGATGTGGTGCTGCTTCTTTGTGTGTCTGGTGTGTGCAGGTGTCAGGAGAAGGTGTGGGGTTGCTTTGGCTTCATGCTGCGCCCACTCCCAGATAAGACTTTCCCTATAAGGATTTTTGGACTCTCTAAGGATTTTTGGTCCTTCTAAGGGTTCTTGGTCTCATCACAGTAATAGCATCCATTGTCACCTGTACTCACAGACATCCTTTGATGCAGCATCTCCCAGCCTGCTCCAACCAGCCTGTTGTCACCAGGAATGAGATTATGCGAGAGAGGATCTTAACATATATTGCTCTTTCTTGACAAGGTGAAGTCAAATAACAAGAAGCTCCACTAAACCCAGGTGATTGGGTTCTTTGTGTAGCTCCAAACATGCTCCAGTGCTTTCAGCATTTAAAAATAGTCCGAGGAAGCCTTTTCCATTGAGGAAGTCTGATGATGGCAGCTCCCCCACCCACCCTGTGGAGGTGGATGTATGTACAGCACCCGAGGAGCAGCCGGGGGGGCAGATCTTCTTGTCTCCTTCACCAAAATCTTGGATCGAAAGCCACCCGATCTGGTGGGGTCTGGAGGCAATCTCCGTACGCTGCTCCGGCAGCTCGGGATGGGCCTGAAAGGAGAGAGATATTGCAGTGGGTGCCGGGTTGTTACAAAGTGTTAATGAGAATCGGTCTGAATTTACACCGGGGAAAAGTGCGGAGCGGGATCGACTTCGTGCCGTTTGAACTGGAGGTGGGAGGAGGAAAACGGGTCTGGGAGAGAGACAAAGGGAATTTTCTAGGGAGACACGCACGCTCCCGGCTCGGGCCGGGTGCCGCGCTGACCGAGTGAACCGCAGCGCAGCCGCCCGGAATCTAGGGCAGTGGGAAAGCGAGCGTGCTGCCATTGGGTGGGGGCCCCCGCCTTTGTCTGGCAGCCCCCTCCCCGCGTCCCCTCCGCCCGCCGTGCCCCGCTTCCCCCGCTGTGCCCGGCGTGTGCCGCGGCCGCGCAGGATGGTGCGGTGCCACGGGCACACCCACTCCGCCGCGCATCGCTGGCGCTTCGCTTCCCAACTTTCCTCCGATTGTCTGTGGTGCTGGGCTTGTTTCTGCTGGGTGTTTCCGTGGGGTTCCCCCCCACCCTTTTTTTTTTTTTTTTTTTTTTTTTTTTTGGGTTTTTTTTTTTTTTTGTTTCATAAACAACTTTCATCGCGATGCGAAAAAGCGTAAAATCGCCGCGCTGGAACAAGGCGGTCGCTGGTTTTCCTGGCATGGTGTGTTGGGTGGTGTTTTTGCCCTTCTTGTAAACACAACTTGCATCATCAGGACAATAAACCCTCCGTGCAAAGAGATTTAGTTGGTTGGTTGTGGTCCTTTTGTGTGCATTTGCGTTTTTTGACACCACTTTCATCGGGTTTTCAATGCAGCAAAACCTTACCCCACAGGCCGTCAGGAGGGTTTATTTGTGAAGTTCTTTGTGTGCTTGTCTTTTAACAAGGC